CAGGAAAAGACAGTAGGAGTCCCATATGAAAGTTTTAGAAAAAAGATGAATCTCCCAGCAGAAAGAATAGGAAGTGGTAATAAGGACAAATTGGAAAGAATTATATTACAAAGTGCCCCAAAGTGCATGAAATATGCTAATAGGAAATATGAAGATGATGCTTGGCAGAATTATGAAGCAGAAGAGGCAGTAGCAAAGTAAAGAATGTAGTCAAAGAGGAACAGTTAAGATTAAAGAGGCAGAAAAAATGTAGTGTGATTTTGATGGAAATAAACATTTTGTTCTGGAAGCAGGTGAATGATCCTCTAGCAGAGTGAATGGAATTAAAAATAAAATGATGAAATTACTTGGAATAAAATTAAAGTGAGGGAATGCAAGAAGGAATATTTGTATGGAAATGATAATAATATGTCAGAGACTGGAATTGAAATGACTGCTAAAAAGTTTCATTCTGGATGAAAAAGAAATCAAATGCTGTGAGAATTCTGAAAAATGCTAAGGCTGCAGGTGTACATGGCGTAACTGGACAAATGGTAATATACAGATGTTGTTTGTTTATGAAATGGGTAAGTTGTTTAACATGTGTGTTTAGACTGACAGTTGGAAGAATCTACTGTTGCCCATTACAAAGGGAAAGGGATCAACTGTAGGGAGATTAGTTTGTTACATGTGTCTGAGAAGGTGCCAGGCAGAATTCTGAGTGAAACTATACTAGAGGTGATAATGAGCAAAATTTGGCAAGTGAAGTGCCACTTTAAGCTGAATAAGGAATGTGCAGACCACATTTTTGCTTTTCAGTGAAAAATGTATGAATGTGAGAGTTTATTGTACACTCTTAATCGAAAGAAAGCACATTATTTATTTAATTTTTATCCCACCTTTATTTTTGGCCAATTCAAGGTGGCATAGGTACCGAATGCTCCCTCCTTCTATTTTCCCCACAACCACCACCTTGTGAGGTGGGCTGGGCTGACAGAGAGAGACTGGCCCCAAATCACCCAGCCAGTTTTCATGCCTAAGGGAGGCCTGGAATTCAAGGTCTCCTGCTTTCTAGTCCAGCACCTTAGCCACTCACCAAACTGGTTTTGTACTGATAAATAGGCTTGCATTATGGCATGTTTTACATGAATACGGAATTAAGATTGGTTGCACCCTAAGAAGAGTATAGGATGGCAGTAAAGTAAGTGTGAGAATAAACGAAATGCTTAGCAAATGGCTGAACAGGATGCAGGGAATAAGACAAGGATGGGTAACGTCCTTTTGGCTGTTTAATATATTTATGGATAGGGAATGTTTATGGAGTGCTGGGTTGAGGATGTAAATGTACGTATACTTGTGTTTGGAGACCTTTATTGTTCGTTGGGAACTCAAATGTTAAATAGGTTGTATGATGAAAGGAGTAAGGGTCTGAAAATCAATGTAACAAAGACTGAGGTAGTTGGGTATGACAGGAAATGAAGTGAACGATGGCAAGTTATACATAAATTGTGGAAAGCTAGTGGAAATAGATGAATTTGTGCATGTTGATAGAATGTTTACCAAGGATGGGGCATCAGATGATAAAATTTTAAGATGTGAAAATGTTAGTGAAATAAATGGAAATGGTTATGTAAGAGTGTGGCTCTGACCACTTATGGAAGTCAGAGTTGGGCATATTAGGTGAAAATAAATAAGGGTAATGCAGTGAGAATGGGATACACAAGAACTGTGTGTAGCAATACAAGAACAGATAAGGTCATGAATGAATATAGACTGAATACAGAAATGAGTGCCAGTATGAAAGAAGTGGTTTGGTCATATGGGAGGAATAAATGAGAACTGAATCACAACATCACAAAAGAACTGCCTACCAGTCTCCAACCTTCCCTTTTTGGGGAAGGTTGTTGAGAAGATGGTAGGTCTGCAGCTGATGAGAACCCTGGAGGAAATGGATTATCTAGATCCCTTTCAGTTGGGTTTCAGGTCAAGATTTAGTATTGAGACAGCCTTGGTTGCACTTGTCGATGACCTGTGGCAGAGCCGGGATGGCGGTGGTGCATTCATCCTGGTGCTCCTTGATCTTTCAGCAGCTTTTGATACTGTTGACCACAGTATCTTTCTGAGCTGGGTCTGTGGGTTGGGAATTGGGGACACTCTTTTAGGGTGGTTCTCTTCCTTCTCCAGGGCCAGGTCCAGTTGCTGGTTGAGGGGGGGAGAGATCACTCCCTAGGCCCTTCTGGTGTAGGGTGCTGCAGGGTTCTATGCTCTGTCCCCTCCTTTTCAACATCTACATGCAACCACTGGGTGAGGTCATCCACTGGTTTGGGATTCAGTATCATCAGTATGCTGATGATACCCAATTATATCTTTTGGGGCCAGCCAAGTGAGGCTGTCAAGGTTCTATTCCAGTGCCTGGAGGCTGTGCAGGTTTGGATGGGGAGGAACCACCTCTGACTCAATACTACCAAGACTGAGTGGCTGTGGGTGTTTGGGCCACTCAGATCTGGGGATATTCTACCTCTGACCTTGCATGGAGTAGCACTTCCCCTTCAGGGTTGGTATGCAATCTGGGGGTCTTCCTGGACTTGCAGCTGGTATCAGCTGTGGCCAGGAAGACCTCTGCACTGTTGGGGTTGTGAAATGTTATTACAAAAACCATGAGGAGGAGAGAGGATTCATTTCTACCTCTGAAGAGCCATGAGGAGAACATTAACATTCTATCAACATGCACAAATTCATCTATTTCAACCAAGCCTGTCTCACACGAGCACAAAGGGAGGGGTGGCTTCGCTGCGACCTAGCTTTGCTGCTTTGTGTGAGACAGGCTTGGTTGAAACCCCATATTTTCCAACATGCACAACTGCATCTGGTGCGCCAGTTGCACCCTTTCCTAGATGGGGGGGTGGGGCTTCAGTCAGTCACACGCATCCTAGTCACTCACAGCTTGATGACTGCAATGTGCTGTACAGGGCACTGCCCTTGAAGACCACCTGGAAGCTTCAAGTGGTCCAGAATGTGGCAGCATGAGCAGTAATTGGCATATCTCGATATGCCCATGTAACACCCCTGCTTTGCAAGCTGCACTGGTTGCTGATTTGTTTCTGGGCGAGATTCAAATTGCTGGTTGTCACCTATACAGACCTACATGGCATACAGCCTGGTTACTTGAGGGACTGCCTGTCCCCCATAACGTCTGTCTGGCTGATTCTACCCTGCAGGGGTGGCGCGCTCTAGGTTCCTTTGACTGAACAATGTCATGTATCAGGACCCCAGAAGTGTGCTTTCTCTGTAGCAGTGCCTACCCTCTGGAACAAGATTCCCCCCAAGATCCAGATGGCCCCCAGTCTGCTGTTGTTTAGAAGAGCTGTAAAGACCTGGCTCTTCACCCAGGCTTTTGATGAGGGAGAGTGAGACCCTCGCTTCATCGTACTTGCAGTCTTTTATCTTTAACTTTTATGTTTTATTGATTTGATAATTTTTTTTTATTGTTGTGAGCTGCCCAGAGTCATTGAGAGTCGGCGGCATACAAGTTTAATAAATTATTATTTAAAATAAATACATGAAGAATGACTAGGTTAAGAGGAAGGGGAAGATGGAAAAAGTTGTGGTTATACAGAGTTGTAGAGTTCCTGAAAAAGAGAGAGATGAAAAGTTTAAAGAACAAAATGCAATGCATGAAGCGGTTGTTTCCTTAAAAGTTTTTGTATACCTCATAATGTGGCTAACCCTCAAAGGGAATAGAATATTGGATATGTATGTATGTACGTATAATGCTCCCCTTTCCATCCACTAAAGAAAAGTCACTATTGGTGTGCTCTTGCTGCTATTGAGAGTGGAAATGCTGCCATAATGAATTCTTTTGCTGGAGGAAAAGGGGAAGCTAAATTGCCTGAGAACACAGAAGAGGGGACTTGGGACCAATGGCAGTCTGTCCAGATGGCTACCAAGGGCCGTAAGGTACCCATTCTATCCTTTACTGACACAGAGAAGTGTTCTAACATTACTGGGGCTACCTGACTGCTACAAAGGTTGGATCTGCAACCAGGTGTACAATCTCTGCTTATGTGTTCTGGCACTTTACATGGTCTGAAAGCACATCTGTCTGCAGTGAACTGGGTAACCATTAGGGCTACTATATCTGGGCTGCAAATATCTGAATGATCACTGGATAGCAACAAAGAATTAGAATATCCTGTATCTTTTTGATACCAGCTAATGGTCATCTGGATTTTTGCTGCATAATATGTTAACTCTACAACCACAGTTTGTGGCAACCTATTTGTTTAAAAACTGCCCATCCTGGTACTAAGCAAAGAACTGCAGATTGCCCCGCTGGGTTGCTGCAAAAATAAAACAGGAAAATCTTCATGTTCACCAGTCAAGGTCCATGATAACAGGACAGACCCATCCACTGTAGGTTGCAATTCCTGGTTTATGGCTTAATATGTTTTGTGAACTCATCAATAATTATTTATTTAACAAATCATAATCATGGTGTAGCAGGCTATGTGCACCAGGTTGTAGAGTCCAGATTTGTAAAAACCCATTATGCGACAGTACGTTAGCCTTGGTTTTTAAAGTCTATCTAGAAATACTTGGTCTCATAGATAATTTCTATGATTGATGAACTTGAGACTCTGATTTATTTTATGAGGAGTCAAAACACAACTAATGTGTGCTGGTTATTCTGGATTAATTACAACATGTTCTAGAGATGCCTCTTTCCCCCTTTGCAGGTCTTCTGTGAACACAGGATTGATGACAAGCGGAAATTTAATCAACAATATTTTCTCCGGCATTCAAGGCAACAAGAAAAGTTTCACCTGCTGATTTTCTGGCTGTCAAAGGGCAGGAGTCCAGCTGCCAGGGAAAAAAAAGCGAACAATGCTAGCCTTCACTACGTTCTTAGATAAAACATTACAAAACCTCCTCTTTTTTCCCTTTTATTAATCATTCCACTGGCCGGCTAATATTTTCTGGGTTTTGCCTGACTCAAATGTACAACATTAATTCTGAGTTGACAAAGTTTATATTTTTATTAAATCAATGATAAGTTACAAAGGAGGAAAAATATAGAATTATATGTACAGCATTTCCAAAGATAAGCCAAAGGGGATTATGGGGTAGGAGGGAAATTCCTCAGAGCCGCAAGAAAAGATGAGAGCTTTTTGCCAGCAAATGATAGAGGGAAATTAGAGAGATTTGTACCAGCCAGGGTACAATGCCAAATGGACAACTGGTTGGATTGATTTATAAGAACAGCCCTCCCCCCTTTTTTTTCTTTTTTGCTCCAACCCTTCCCTTTCTTGTGAAATCAAAATTCTGGGATGTATGTTGATTTACACCATCTGAGAATTTTATCTCATGAGCTCAATGAACCTACAGCATTTCTTCATTCTTTGACTGCAACCCTTTAATCACCATACAGTCACTGACCATACAAGCATGGTGGCCTCTCCATGCCATCCACTAAATATATTTGCAATGCTGGGGGAATGAAACAATCTGTCAGCAAAAGATGCCACTGCCTTGCAAAGCTCCACATCTACAGATATCCCTAAACCCAATTATCTTGAAACAATTCTTTTCAGTCTGGTTAACTTATTTTCCAGACACCTTTGGCATCGTACCCAATTGTGCGAGCTCAACATAACCAGGGCTGTGTGAAACCTGTGATTCCTGAAGGAATCCAGCAAAAAGCACAGGATGTGCTGCTTGGAAACAGACTAGCATTTATTTAGAAAAAGGCAGGTTGATTTTCTTGCTTCTCCCATGAATTGTAAATCTGGTACAATGCAAACAAACAAAAACATTCCTCTCCCAAAATTACCATGCACAAAGGAGATATATATGCATAGTTGCATAATCTATACAGATCAGATATGAACTTTTTATGGCACAGGATGTGGTTGAGTGCATGCAGAATTTTAACATTTTGTTCTGTTTTACTTGAATGCAGACACTACACACAGCCCTGGGCTAAACCTTTACTTATGATGAGCCAGTTGGTTCAACAGGAGAGGCAGAGCAAAAGGCAAGTTCAGTTTCTTTTTCAGCCAGTTTTCCTCTGATTCACTGAACAAGCACATTCCGTTCAATACCTTATAAAGATAACAGTTTGCTATTAACATTGTAGTATTTGAATAAAGAAATACAACATGCCAACTTGAGTCAGCAATCTGACTCACTTTGGAGAAGCTATACTGTCTATAACCAGTTAGGAACTTGGTTGTAAGATCCTTGGCTGTAAGGTACATTTACATTGCAAACCTGTAGCTGTTTACTCAGGAGTAAGCTACACTGAATTCCTGCTAGACAGGACCTCAATTTATTGAGATAATCACCAAATGTAGCAATGTGAGTTGGATGCCTCTGAGATGACAGTTTGTCTAGATAGAAGGGTCAGGATCAGTCACAATTACTGTCTCTTCACTCACATGAATTTATTTGCATTGACAAGTGCCCTCACAATAACAATAGATAAGGGGAAGTGTGGATAACGGGATAATAATTTTTTGGAGCATGTACTCATTCTTTAAGGCTGCATGATATAATCCCTGTCATCTCCAGGTAGAGCTGGGAACCTCTATCTGGTACCTGGAGAGCCACTATCAGCTAGCACAGGAGATAACACTGAACCAGAGATGCTGGTAGTTTGACTTGCTATTAGGTGGCAGTTTCCTATGTTCACAGGGAGTAAACCTCACTCAACAATGGGTTTTATTTCTGAGTAAGCATGCTTAGAGCTGCACTATAAGGGATTGGAACAGTATTAGTAAGCATTCACTGGAGACAACATCCCATGAGAGTAAGATAAATTCAAAGATGCATTCATGGCATGATAGATATTGTATGACCTGCTAAGAAGAGATTTCCTGAGGTATCTGCCATAAAAAAGACATGGGATAGGTGTCATCCACTGAGACTAAGTAGAATTGGCAGCCAGTGCTGGAAATTCAAATTTAGTAATATACTACACTATCTGATTAGCCTTTGCCCAGGTTTTCAGCAGGGAAGCCAGATATATGCCAATGGTTGCTATGCAACTCCCTGTCAACAAGAGAGGGCCTCTGGTAAAAGTTATTCCTTTCAATCTCTTTTTATTCTAGCCATCTTTTAGGGGGAAGCAAAAATTCAGAACCCTGCGTGTTTGTCACAAACAGCCATGATTTCTTTTAAAAATTTTCTTATATAGTTAGAATGAGACACATGAGCAGCTTCATATCAAGAGAGACATGTTTAGGACAGAGAACCAAAAAGTTTGCTTCTTGGTATGTTCCGTCATATTTAAATCCTATATGCCTTCTACTTGTTTATCAGTCAGATGTTTTTCCATTTTTTTCCTTGAAATCAACCACCCACGAGATATAGCAGTGGCACAGCATATTCTCTATCATTCCCATTGGTCTAATAAGCTTCATCTACTCCCACAACTGAGATAAGACCTTTCCCAAGACCTCCAGTGCCTTCAATATAGAATACAGAATATGTGCACGATTCAAATATTCCCTAAGTAAACTGGTTTCCTAACAACCCAAGAGGAAATCAGATGGGGAGAGAAGCTGTTTCCAGAAGATCAGATGGGTTTATGGAAGGTAAAAAATAACAACACTTTGAGTGTGGAGCAGTAATTGTTCAACAGAGGTGAAACTGTAAGTTTAGATGGTCTTATTCACTACAGATTTCTCAGCTAGGATCAAGTAGGAACTATGGAGAAGAACCAGTTCTCTGTCTTGACTCTTGGTCAGCACTGCTCTCAACAGCTGCCGAGGTTATATTCTCTCTCATCTCCTTACTTTCCTATACAATTGGTTTGCCTCTCACATCATACTTAGTCTTCCCCCATGTAATCTCATTTTGGTGTGGCCTGATGTTGATGCCATCTCATGAAGCATGTGAGGGTCCCCCAAATTTTCCCCTCCCTGCCCCGCAGCCCACCTTCCTGCTTCAGTATGGGGAGAACTTCTGTCTCTCACCCTTCTTGCTTGCATTGGCTGTGGAGATCTTGGTCGTGTAGGTGGCAAGGTTGCCATTGTGCCCCGTGGCTGAGGAAGGGGGCAGTGTCAAGAAGGGAATGGGTTTCAAGCCGATGAAGTTGGAGAGGGAGATGGCATAGGGGGGACCAAGCAAGGCTGGGGGAGGTGCGGCCACTGCTGTCAGCGCTGGGGCTGGCGAAGGGGTGAGGGGCTGGGAGAAAGTCATGCCGAGGTCAACGGGGGGCGTCTGGGAGGTAGATTTGGCCGTCTCTAAACTGAAGAACAAGAAGGGAGAAAGAATGAGACCTGTGCATGCATGCCCATTTACATATACAAACGCAGACATCTGTGAACATATACTTGGAAGTATATGTACCAATGTGTGCTGGAACAAGCTTGCACACAGCATAATATGCATAGGTATGGGTTAATATGTATAGTTTGCTTAATACATATATAACAGTATGGTTATGGATATGGATATGCATTCACGGAAAGACGTGTTTTTACTGGCATGCATAATGACATGTGCAACAGAACAGGTACACACAGAGACTGGAATAGTGAACAAGGTGCTCTGAAGCATTTCAGCATCCAGATAAGATATTTTTCTCCAGAATCCCCCTAGGACTATGATCATACATTTGTTGTAAGGAACCCTTACTATGACAAAAAGGGCTTACTTCCTCAATCAATGTTCAGAGCTGGATATGTCAAGGAAGTTATCCATTCCAAGGTATTTCAGGCACTTATGTGACTTGGGCCCATGACCAATGGCTTGAGTCAATATCTGAATTTCACACCCTGAAACCATTTTATCCGTCCAGGCTGAAGGCGGGGGGTGGGGGCAGTGGTGATAAAATTCATCTTAGTTTAGCTTTTTGAATATGTAAATGCATTAGAATATGAAATGAGTTCTGGAGTGATTTCCCCAGGAAAACTGACTGTGTAAACAGGAAAGTGCATTCTTCAATAAGTAGGCCATGATTTTCCAACCTGTGCCCCTAGTGGCCATAATGCACAAAAAGAGAGTAACGGTAATTTCCTGCTCCAAATCTTGAAGCATCTCAAGTGCCAGATTATAATACACCATGACAAATTTCCTTTCATATATTCCACTCAAGTATCATTATCTCGTGGATAAAAGGCAGTTATTCCATACTGAAAACAAGAGCACTTCCTGAGCAGAACTGAGGGCTGCATCTGTGCCTGCGTTTGCAGCTGCAAGGGGAATCTGACAGAGACGCAGAGGCAGAACTGCCCAAAACACTGTCGTTAATGCTAATAGTCTCATGTTGGCTCATGAGAAACTCAAAGATTGGATGCTGTCATCTAGGCTGGAGAGACAGCATGCGAAAGTAGTGACAGTGGGGGGAGTGCTGCAGGGTGTTACCTTTTAACATTCCTGTTTGCTAAATAAAAGGCAGGATGGTTGCAAACTAACAATTCACCCACCAATGCAAAGGGTCGCCATGTGATTCCCACAAAACTATCCATCTAAAAGCCCTAGGGCTTGGACACAGCAGGAAGGAGCCACACCAATACCTGCATATATACTGTATGTAAAAATGAGGGTTCCTCCCTGCCTCATCTCCCCCAGTGGCTGTACTGGCTCTTACCAGGCTGTGATGAGGTACTGAGCCAAAGTGATGCTGACTGGTGTGCCTGTGATGGTCACATGACGTTCGGCAGAACCCTCTGTCTGGTTCCCGATCTTGATGTGTGCTCCGGACATTTGCCGAATCTCACTGATCTTGCTCCCCTGGCGGCCAATGATGCAGCCAATGAGCTAAGGAGGACAAAGAAGGATCAACCTTGGGAGGGGAAGGGTATGAGGAACTTCACCCCCTAAGAAAACAGCTGAACTAGGATGCATGGAAAACAGTGAATCATTATGCAATACATTTCTTGCAGTGAGAAAGAGGACTCTCAGTGCCTGACCTACAGTAGTATTTACCTTTGCACCAGAAACCACCAAGATTCAAATAAATACAGAAATGCCTTATTTACTTATGGAATTGATAGGCCATCCCAATCTGTCATAACTTAGGGTGATACAGCAATAAAACCAAAGAAACACATTGTCAAAAAGAAAATAAAAAGTGGGAAAACAGACATTCAACAGACCAAAACATCATAAAGGGACCTATCATCCACTCTAACCCAGGGCCTGAGGGTAGAGTCAGGTTTTACAGGCTTGTTTAAATAAGGCCAGGGTGGAGCCATACAAGTCTTGGAGGAAATTGTGTTCTAGAGGGCAGTTGCATTACAGAGAAGGCTTGCTTCTGGGTCCAACCAGGTGACATTATTTAATTGATGAGAACCTGGAGTATGGGCAAAAGCTACTGGAGATAGGAGGTCCCTCAGATAACCTGGTCCGAGGCCACGAAGGGCTTCACAGATGATAACCAGCACCCCAAGCTGCACCTGGAAGCCTACCAGCACTCAGTGCAGCTCATGGAGAAGGATGTTACAGGGGCATGCCATGGTACCCCAAACTACCCATGCTGCTGCATTCTAGACCAGCTGCCAAGCAGCCTTCAAGAGCAACTCCATGTACAATGCATTACAAGAGTCCAAATGCAAGGTGACCAAAACTTGAGTGACTGTCTTAAGGCCTCCCAGCCTAAGTATGGGCACAAGTGGCACAATAGATAAATTTGTGCAAAGGTTTTTCTGTCTACAACTGCCAGCTGCTACAAGAGCTACAAGTCCAAGAAGACCCCCAAATTGTGTACCAGTCCTGAAGAAGGGAGTACAATCCTATTCAGGAACAAAAATGGAACCATTCCAGACTCAGGAGGTGCAAACATCCACAGCCACTCAGTCTGGTCAGAGTTGAGCCTAAGCCTGTCCTTCCCCATCCAGGACCATATAACCTCCAGACACTGGGGCTAGACATTGACAATATCACCTGGACAGCCACAGGCCAAAACGCATAACTGGGTATCATCAGAATACTGATGATACTGGACCCCAAACTGACGGATCACCTCACCCAGGGGCCTCATGCAGATGTTAAACAGGAGGGGTGAGAACATCAAACCTTAAGCCATCCCACTTAAGAGGGGATTCTGGCTCAATCTTTCCCTCCTTGTCAACACTGACTGAACCCAGCCACAGAGAAAGGAAAACCACCGCAAGAACACTTTACCCCCATCTCTTAATCCCTGCAGGTGGTCCAGAAGGATACCATGATTGATGGTATCGAAAGCTGTCAAGAGATTAGGTAGAACCAAAGATTACAGCACCTTTGTCCTGGCTCCACCAAAGTTATCAACAAGTGCCAATACCATCTTGATACTACGCCTTGGTCTGAAACCAGACTGAAATGGGTCAAGACAACCTGAATCTTCCAGGGGCCTCTGAAGCTGCAACCTGACCACCTACTCAACAACCTTCCCTAGAAAGGGAAGGTTGGAGACTGGATGAAAATTGCCTAGGACAGTTGGGTCCAGTGAAGGCTTTTTGAGGAGAGGGCATATGTTTAAGGCAGGAAGCACCACCATTCCCTCAAAGAAACAGATACCACCACACTGACCAATGGCACACTACTGGGTGGCCTTTACCAGCTAGGAGGGGCATGGATCTAGTACAGAAGTGCTCAGGTTGATCAGCCCAAGGAGCCTGTCCTTTTCTGGGAGTCACAGGTTCAAACTCAGATGTTATTAAAAGGACAGGATCAATCCTGTTTGCAGCTGGGTGGGTCCCCAGGGGTGTGCTGTTTTAAGCTATTTAGCTGCAAATGTTTTTTGTACTGAACCACATTCTATTAGACAAGCTACTGAATGGGAAGGGGAAAAAATAACTAAGTCATGTAGTTCAGGTTTCTACCAGACTGTGGCAGGAACTGACCTACAATAATAAAACAGTGCAGCCTGTTTTGTAAGACTTTTTCTTTAAACAAAACCTTCCATCGTTCTTATTCTTTTGCATGTAAAATTGGGGAGCTATGTAAAGGTCAATGTTGCTTACTACCCACATGCTTCCTGCCTTCAAAAATGGCTGAACAAAGTCTTCAGTTTCCCCAGCAATATCTGCTGACATCTGCAAAGCAGGCCTGCAGCTGGGTTGGCTGTGTGGGTGAGCAACTGGCACATTCCTCTTTTAGCCTGATATTCTGGCCTTTGCTCCCAAAGATGGAATGAGCGTAAAGCTTCTGAAGTTGTGGAGAAATGGGTCTGAAATACACTTTTTCTACCACTGTTGTTCCTCTCTTTAGAAGACTTTCCTGTATGATTATTGTGCTTTGTCCACTACTGTTAGTCCTTTGAGGTAGGCCAGGTCAGGTAATAGGTCCCACAAGGATTCCAGAAATGCTACTTTACTGTTGTAGGGTATAATAACAGAATCACAAAAGTCTGTCAGAGTTTTTCTCTGCCCCCTCTTATATTAAGCAGAATCAAGGTGGGACTATTTTGAGATTTTTTCTCATGCTTTCCACTTTCTCAGGACTGAGTTGCTGTTTCACTTCCCTTAACAGTTCCTCCCTTCCAAAGTCATCTCTACATTCCTTTACGACTGCAGCGACAGCTGAACCGTGTGATGAAGGGGGAAAGTAAATTGCTTATCAAACTCAAATAACTGTTGATGCAAAACAATCTTTATTTCCTTTAATGCCTGAAGATTCAATTATTCCCAGGTAATTCCTTTACTACTATTAAGTTACATGTTTCCATGCCAGGCTGCGATTAAAGACACAGCAGCAGAGTCAGTATAAAATTCAAATTGTGGTTGTGAACCCTCCTCCCAGAGTTTGCCAGCTACGTTGAGAGAGACTGCATTATTCTTTAAAACATTTCCCTTAGGTATGGTGATCAAGCTTGGACTTTTAAGCATTACTAAGCTTATGAATTGGCTTTCCACCTGCTTCTTTTTCTTAACAGAGTTGTCAACAACATTGTGTTCTTTAGGTTTAGTCCTGGGGCAGAGATAGCTCTGGTCACTCAAGTCAATGATCTTTGGGGAATGCACCCCTTCTAGTCCTATTAGACCTCTCAGTGGCCTTTGAGATCATTGATCAGGGTATCCTTCTAGACCGTTTGTGAGGGATAAGGTTCAGGGGCACCGCTTCACAGTGGTTCCGCTTGGTGGTTATAGATGAGGAGAGTCAGCCCAGTGGCTGCTCTCTTGTGAGATACCAGGGGGCTTGTTTTTCTTCCCCTCCCCCTCCCCCATTTTTTTGTCATCTACTGTATATGAAAGTCCTCTGTACATTACTACCCTGGGCTATGCTGGAGATGCTGTTGAAGTCTTGTCCTCATATCTGAAGGCTGTCAGGGTGTGGATGGGACAGAGCAGGCTGGAGCTGAATCCAAGCAAGGTAGAGCTGTTGTTTGTGCATCAAGGCTCTCTGCCAGCCCAAGGGTTGTCTCTTGGCAGGAATTACTACTCCCGAAGGAGTGGGGGTCCGTAACCTGGGGGTCCTTCTGGGTTCACATCATATGGCAACTGAGTTGGCTGAAGCTGTGACTGGGGGATTTTTGCCCAGCTTTGGCTGACGTGCTGTTTGTAACCCTATCTGAAGCAGGATTTTGCCAGAAGAACTAATGTTCTTATCAATGCTCATCAGGACTACTGTAATGAACCATATGTAAGTCTGTCTTTGAAGACCACCCAGAAGCTGCAATTGGTAAAAATGAAATAGTCCATTTGCCAATAAGCATTCTATGTTGACAGCATATTATCCCCATATTCTGGGCCCTGCATTGGCTCCCAACAACTCTGAACAAAACTAATTTCTTAAAATAGGTACATTAAATGTTTAAGGGGCTTGAAAAACCTATTTTATCTTAAAACAAACAAGCCACACCCTGCCAATGTTTAAAAAAATGTCTGGAATTTTCAGGTCTGCCCATTCTTATGAAATTACTGTATCCAGCCACACCTTTTGCAACCCATGAAGGCTAAAAATAATTGTCTGGAATAAAAAAGTTGCCTTTTTTTATTAGTAGAAGGCTAGCATATTAACTCTATTTTGAAAAGCTGTTTGCTACCTAACTATATTCTCCAAAGACCATAGTTCTGTGGCAGAACACAAGGTTCTCATGAAGAAGATTCCTAATTAATCAACTGGTCACTCCAGTTCAAAGGAATTGGGTAACAGATGAAGTTAAAGCCCTTTCTCTATCCAAGACTCTGCAGGTCTGCTATCCATCTGAGTAAACAATATTAGTCCAGTTGAAAAAAATAGCTGGACCCGGCATAAGGCAGCTTTCTAATTTGCAACAACCAAAGAACTGGGACTTTTGATTCTGACATAGTTGCTTGGCAAAACCTGGCCCTTTATTGGAAGAGATTTGGCTGGGGAGTAGATTTCTGCTTTGATCGGAACAGAGTCCCTCTCTACAGACATTTGTGAACAGGAGCAGAGGAATGGAATGAAAAAGGGTCTGGATTTATGCCCAATGAGCTTTTACACTGATGTGAAATGGGAGGAACTGAAGTGAAGTGAGCACAATTGCAGCAGTGCAAACAAAAGACTAAACCAACCACAGCATTAACTCAGCAGAGTAGGCAGCTCATGTCAAAGTCTGACTTACATCATTGGGAACCAGAAACTCCTGAGAGCTGTTCTGAGAGTTTGCATCCAGGCCTACAGAGAAAGAAAGAAAGAAGACATAGAATTACTGGGGGTCTTCTGTTACTCCTTGAACTGGTATTTCATATTCCTGCCTCCCCTAGAATAAGCTAGAACTGAAACATTAGCATCTTAAAGATCCTTTCTAGGCACCATAGTTACAAAGAGCAGGGAGGACACAAAAAGGATTGGATGGCTTCCCAGCTCTTGCAAAGCAATCAGTAACTCCAAGAAGAGGCTTTTGTTTTATGCCATTTCACTTAGGTCACATTACACTGGACTAATTTTAGATAGTCCCAGTGGAATTCCAGCCTATCCCAGCCTCTTCCTGCTTGATGCAGACCCCATTGGCTACAGATACTCTTTTAACAAAATAGGAAACAATCCTTGTCCTTACTCAGATGATAAAGTTTTAGTTCAATTGCATGGATTTGCTGTATTTTTACAGGGGCTACTTGGAAAAGCCAAGTTCAGTGAATGAGTAAACAAAACCCCCAAAGAAAGTCTTCTCATTGTTATGCATTGTTTATCTGAGCTCCTTCTATTAGTAGAGATTCCATCTTTGGACTTGTAGCTTCATCCAGATGGACAGCTCCTATTCATCCAAGTCACAGGACTGATTATATGGCATCAATTCAATGTTGACTCTTAGGAACCACACAGATAGACCTTCTCCAGCATGATCTGTCCCCAACCTAGCCCTTCAAATCTTTTAACAGTGCTTGCATCCACTGCTTTTGGTTCTTTTCACCTTTTCCAGCACTACAGACTTTCCAAGAGAGTCCAGACATGATGTGTTTAAAATATGATATGGGCACGTGTGCCTCGAGTGAGAACTGTAGCTTGATTTGTTCTATGATCCATGTTTGTTTTTTTGGCTATCCAAGGTATTCTCAGGGGTCTTCTCCAGCATTAATGTCCAAAAGTATCAATACTCTTTCTATCCTGCTTCTTCAAAGTCCAGCTTTCACTTCCATAGAGTGACACAGGAAAAACCACTGCGTGATGAAGTCATTTGCATTTTCAGCTATCAGAGTAGTGTCATCAGCATAGCACAGGTTATTGACGTTTCTTCCTCGAGTTTTAAAACCACACTCATCTTCTTCCAATCTAGTTTCCCTCAAAGTTTCAAGTAGTGCCCATGGCATATAAAGGCCTAAGCAGTTGAAAATCACTTTCTCCCCACTCTCTCTCCATCCCTCTCAGTATATGTCTGTATTTGTGTATTTAGAGAAAGAAAATGAGAGACACTGAGAAAGAGTGTATGCTTGGCCTCTTGAGCTTATTTCTTTTGTTCTACATGAATTTGCAAAATATTCTTCTTTAACAGGGGGAGTGACTGATGGCTCTTAATAATTGTCTTTAACATCTGGGTTTAAACATAATGCTAAGCTGTAATGTGGCTTCTATGGTTTTAGCTTAGCCTGTTTTGTGAGTGCAATAATTATTGTTTGTAAACTACAGGTTCTGCTTTAGTTATGTATGAACCCAGGCTGCTGCAATTTATTCAATAAACCATGACCTATTATGAATCAGGATTCTAGTCACTGTTTAGGAAATAGCTACCGATTGTTCTGGAAGCTGAGAGCCACTTTGGAAATTGGACATAACAGCTTTCTCCCTCCCTCTCTGACCATATTTCTTTCCTGTCCTGGTGTAGATGATGTAATCTAGATGTCTGTGTTTGGCACAATCAATTACAGTTTTTCAAGCAGACTGAGAACGATCCAAGTGAGCTACAGTTGGGCTTTGTAAGCATCTTGATATGTGGGTGACTGTCCTGGGGATTATATATAAAAATCAGGGTGTACATTAAAGAATCAATTAAGTATTACCCTAATAGAGCTACTTCACCGATTGTGTAATTTCACAGACATGTTTCCTATTTATGTCTCTGACTCAAGTTTCCCTTAATAATTATTTTTAATTATTCCTTAGGCTGTTTTCTTTTTCCTTAAAAGACAGCCTTCCTGAACCTGGCACCCTCCATATATGCTGGACCACAACTTCCATAATTCTCATCCAGCCACACTCTGCCCTTGCTAACTTGGGATAATGGGAGCTATGCTCACACTCAGAGGGTGCCAGGTTGGGGCAGGCTGCTATAAAATTACAGGCTACAGACATAAGTGTCTTGACAAAGGCTTTCACAACGTTCTCCACGATCCTTTTGCTTACTTCTCTTAGTATTTATATCCCAAATAAATCTTCAGCTATTCACTAGTTATTAATATGTACCTGTTACCAATCCTCTAAAACTCATTTTTAATGCAGATTCATTTTTATGCATATTATATGCAATTCAAAGGTATCATATGAAAGAATGATTACACAGGTTTGTCTATAACCCTAACAAAGATAGTTTACATTTCAATAAAAGTCACATATTTTTCTTCAGAATGTAATGCTTCCCTTTAATGTTTCATTTATTCATGTTCTATTATATTGTTCTAAGTGACATTTTTGATACTGAAGCTCAAGCTGAGATACTTTGGTCACCTAATGCGAAGAGAGGACTCTTTGGAAAAGACCCTGATGCTGGGAAAGATTGAAGGCAAAAGGAGAAGGGGACGGCAGAGGATGAGATGGTTACTGAAGCAATGAGCATGAAACTGAGC